CTGTGATAGCGTCCTTTAACGCTTTGGAAGGCAGCGGAAGAGTATCCTACTCACTGACCACAAGTTGAACATCCGGAGTTATGGTGAGTGAGCTCACTGGCCGGGCACAAAGCGAGCTCCGGGGTTGGAGCTCAGGACAAAGCATAGGCCTGGGCCTCTGTATCTCCGGCCTTAAGCATCACCTTTTCGGCCATTGTGATGCGCGAGTTTCCTTTCAGCTGAATGGAAACATCGAGTCCTGTGGGTCTTTACTTTAGATGCTAGCAGGGGGCTTACAAAGCAGCCGGAGGTTTAGTTTGAGACTTAGCCTGAAGCCGCCTGCAGAGTGACATGGAAGACACTGCCTCCAAAGCGATACTTCCCTAAAACTCAGGTCCAATGTGTGTTCATGCTAATTTGCGAGCCTGTGTGACAATCATCGTGGCCTAGAGCATAGGGCACATGGCAAGCCTGCGAGTTGGCTCACATAGATTCACATGGCCAAGGGAGCGAATGCGAGGGATGCGAGGGGGTAGGTCTCTTCACGATTAGGGAAGCTCTGTTTGCTGTGTATTTCCGAGGGTCCAAATGGAAAACAACCGTAGCCAAGGGCTGCACGTTTTGGTTGAATTTTCAGCTGTTCCCGTGCCCACTGCAAAGGACATAAAAAGAATCACTGCCCCCCAATAATAGAGCTCCCCCAACATATTTCCCTGGCCAAACGCCCCAACCCCCCCCGCCAACTAGTACGACAACATTTCCGCAAGGGATGTTTAATTAAATGTCTGGTATATGTTTAGGGGGAAGGGGATTCATTCCTGCAGATAGGGCTCGGCTATGAATTTTAAGAGTTGGAACCACCAACAGTGGTTGGTGGACATCAATCCCCATGTAAATGATGTTCAGCACATGGTCCCTTTGGACCCCCCAAATTTTTGGCCTAAATAGATTTTGGTCGCCTTTTGGTTTGGAGGGAACCCAGTTGGGTTTGGAGTTTTTAGTGGTTTCTGGAACCAGTGAAGCTCGCACTTGGAGTGGTTCCGAGGCTGGCACCCAGCCAGAGGGCTTGTCAGGTCTGGGGCGTGGCGAGTGGCGGCGGTGGGGTTCAGCCACCGCTGAAGCGCAAATCACTGGTAGGGTCTATTGTGGTGATTTTGTTCCTTGCGTTCCATTTTCGCTTAGGGAAGTGATTTTTTGGGGGGCGAGCGCCTGAGAGGGCTGTTGAACAAGGGGCTGTGGGAAGGCGGTTTCCCACTTTTGTAATCATGATTGCGGAGTCGGAGCCATCTACGTTGACAAACCTATGGCTGGTATTCTGGGCCATCCAGGCTCACATTAAGTTATCTTCAGGAGAGTATCCTGATTTTTGAAAATCCCAGCACACACACACACAGTTCTGCAGGGCTTCAGGGTTTTCCAATTTATGTAGTGCCAGGAGAGGTGTTTTTAGGACTTCGGTGGTTTGGCTTGTTGAAATAAGAAGGATGGTTGAAAAGAAGAAGGCTGACTAGACGCTTGCAACATCTTACCTGCCCTGATCGACAGCATGGCTTAGATATGTGCATCCCAAGGATAGCCTGGAGGGGGGGGTAAAGAGAGTTGCATTTTGCACACTGTTGCAAATTCATCTTGATGAGCAACAAAAGGCCTATCCTATGGCCTTTCTGGAATCGCCGATGGACCCAAATAGGCCTTAGGCACACAAAAGGCGAACGGCCCCTGCCGGGGCCCTTGGCAACCATTGGAGGTCAAGGCAGGTTGACCAAGTTGCTAAAGCACATTTGGGCGCTTGCCAGGTCAGGGCTCGCAAGCTTCCGTGGACTCCAAGGCGGGGGCAAGTTGCCCTGCCCCTGTGGCCCATGGTTCACAGGCGCCTTTTGGGAAGACCTGGGAAAAATGGATCTTGGCCCAAGCTGACGGAAACTATACTTGAATCCTATAGGTCTAGGGTTGAACGTTGACGAGATTTCTCTTGGAAAAGGGGCTTGTGCATATCTTTGTGCTTTTTACTCCGGAGGCTTTCTCCAAGACCAAGTGTTTTGAGCTGTCCTGGGAAGACCCTTCAACGGGGCCAAAGAGCCTACGAAAGTTCAGCAGAGTCCTTCCACCACAAAATGTTCCTTGTGAGAAATCTCCGTTTTTTGGGATTGTTGCCAGACTTTACGAGCTTCAAGTGGGCAGGCAGGTGAACCCTTCAAAAGCAAAACAAAAAGTGTTTTATTCGAGCACCCAAAGCGCAGGCATCGCGCGTCTCATGGGGAGGGGAGGACAGCGATGAGGAGGCCAAGCACACAGAGGAGTCTGTGACAGCGTAGTGTGTGTGTGGCCGCCAACAACAAGGCTTGCTCACGTGACATCATGACATCGTGTTGGCAAGGAGTGGCAGATGCATGCACTGGGGCAGAAAGCCGATTTTCTGTCATGGGCTCCGTGGTCGACATTAGATGGTATGCCTGTGTGTCCGTTTGGCACCCCTTGAAAACCACAGAAAAGGGGTGAATGCCTTCCAAACAAACCCACCTCAGCCAAGGCCGAAGGGTCGTTTCCAGGGTTCTTTCCCTGCCTTGAGAGTGTCCAATTTTGACAATCATCTTCAGTCGAGGTCCCAAGAGCTGTCTTCTCCGTTGCTTTGCAACTGAGAATTGTCCTTATTCCCTCGCCAACAAGTTTGCTGGGGAATCTTGTGGTTCTTCTAGTAAACCGTATGCAGTATAAGCTTGTTCAGCCAGGCTGGCAGAAGCAAAAGTCAATAAGTTTTGGGCACGAACCCTTTTTTAGATGCCCAACTTTTGCTAGGCCCATCAACCAAATGTAAAAAGAGGTCAACAAAACCCTCCCCACTTTCATGCAGGTAGGTCTTCAGCTTTTGGGTGACTCCTAGCCCAGCAAATTCTGTCAGGATAGACGAAAAGTTGGATTCCCCAAAAGACAGGGTCCCTTAAAGGATACACTTGAAAATCACAACAACTGGAGGCGTGCGTCTCTCTTTTTGTGAGGGGGGGAGGTGTTTGTTTGGCAGGATCAGTTAGATGGCTCAGCCTCAGGAGTCCATCAGCCAGCGCGGGGAAGTGCCCACAGGCTGAGAAAAGACCCGCGGCGCGTTCGGAGCCGAGGCCGCCAGGTTCGGAGGAGGCACTTTGGGCAAGTGAGTTTTAGCCCGCAACGGACCTTAACCTTCCCCCAAACCCACACCGGGGCGCTGAAATTAAAGGCTGCGGACCAACCAACCGGACCCTTTTGCAACCCCTTTGCCAGGGATTTCGGAGCTGCTTCACTTAGTGAACCCTAGCCCTAAACGGCCCCGACCACTTGAATAAAAGGACAAATCATGTGTTTACAACATTTTACAACCTACTCGACGGGTCACCCAGAAAATAGTGTTTGCCCAGGATCAACAGGTCGATCAATAGGATGGCTTGTTCCTTTTGAGAGATGTTGCAGATCAGACAATTCCACCATGACCTGTTTTTTGTTTTCCACAAGCTTCCCACAAGCTTTCCATTCGCATAGGGGTTCCTTTGTTGGCTTCGCTTCAAAGCAAGAAAGAAGGGCTAGGCCCCCCACAGGGCCGTTTGACCGAGGCCCAGGTCGCGCACTGTGCGCAGCTCTGCAGTGAGGACCTTCGCGAAGGCCCGCGAAGCGGAATTTGCCGAAGCCGAAGCCGCGCGGGGGCGACGGGGCGCGGTCGAGGTCCAGGCATTGGGTGCGAGAGGGTGGGCAAATGTGTTTCTGGGTGCGGGAAAAATCGGAAGCTAGAGTTTGCTGAGGTCAGCTGCCAGGCTACGTTCCTGAAGGCTGAAAGGACGGCAAAGCTGAAGCCAAAGGGGAGCCATGTAAAAAGATTCAGGCCAAACTCCCACAAGTTCATGGGGAGCGGCTACCCACGGGACCGGGGTTCCTGGCTTTCCAAAGGGAATCTGCGGTTCGAGACAGGATGCCAACTCCAGGCATAGACAGAAACTAGCAAACGGAGAACTGTTCAGCCCCCTTCCCTGCGGAGGTTGTGTGTGTGCGCCAACAGAGGGCCATGAATTGAATGCACCAACCGAAAACAAGATGAATACAGAACCTAGCAAGCTGACCTGGGAGTCCGATCTCAACGCAGGTCCCTCACTGGCTCAGGAAAAATAACTCGCACAAGACCTGAAATCCTGGGGGCCAAGGGCAAGAGGGGAAGACCAGAGAAACACAAAAACATGAACCGCTTCGTGGATTCCAGGAACTCAAAGCCACCATATCCTTTTCATCTTACTTTGCCTTTTGAAGCCGTCGGTTTCCAACAGCGCCCTTCGCCGGTGTCTCTCTTTCCCTTCGGCTCGTGGCGTTTTTTTCGTGGGACTGTTGTCAAGGCTTGAAGAAGAGTCCAGTGAAATTCGCCCCCGGGGTCTCATAGGAAGGGGGGTCTCATTTGTTCTTCTCCGAACTGCTGTTAAGCAAGGCTTAAAGGGGAATCCAGTGACCGCCCCCAGGAAGGGGGGTCTCCCCCTGTGATTTTCTTTTGGTGAAGAGCAGGCGGAGCGGTGGCAGCTGGCGGTCCAGTCTTTGGGGCCCAGGTTCGGAGGCGGGGCATGGAGCCATCAAAGCTGGGACTTGCGACTTGGGTCGGATGGGCTTGGATTTGTGTGACTGGTGTGTGTGTGTGTGTTTCAATCCACTGGCCTGAAGAGCCATGACGGAATTGGTCTCACACCTTATTTCCCAACCCTCCCGTGCGAGTGATTGTTTTGCGCGCCAGCTGGTGGTGTGAGATTGTGCTGCGCACACCGGACTCTTGGCTCTCAGGTCGTGCCAGCCGCGTGCAACACGCCGGTCTGGCACGAGGTGCTAGAGACACATGCAGGTGTCTACCATGCAGGGTCTCAAAGGCTGATTGCATGGACCCAACTGTGAACCCATGGAACACCTGAAAGCAGAGCTCCAAATGCATTACCTTTACCAGAAAACACGCACGTGCACACGCAAACACACAAGAACAACTCTTGCTCTTTTGCTTCACTTTGAAGCTCACCTTTTCGGCTGCCTTGACATATGGTTTTCCGGCGGATCTTGGATCCGGATGCCTTTTCGGGAAAGCACCTCCCTTTGCCAGGTTTACAACTCGCAGGTCGGAAGTCGCAGCTCGCATGGTCCGCGCATGGCTGGTGCCGCAGACGAATCCTTCGGGGCCCAAAGTGGAGGTTGGGTCAGGGCTGCTGATTGGCCGAAAGGACTGCTGCAGGCGCGGGCGCGGGGATCAAACCCGGGAAGGCTACATATCATTGTTGGCATCAATCAATGACTAAAGAGAGCCTCAGAATTTGTGTATAATTTGGCTATTTGTTATCATTCAAGCCGTTCTCAGGAACACTGATGAGTAATGTCCAATGGGGATTAGTAAAGGGGAGCCCCCCCCCCCCTAACGATGGGGGCATGGGGAATAGTATGTTGAGGTGAGTTTCCATCAGATTTAGTATTGGTAGACTTGAGTTTCAAATTGATTTAGTATTGCTGGAGCTTCCTTTTGAGATTTGGAACTGAGTTTCAAATTGATTTAGTATTGCTGGAGCTTCCTTTTGAGATTTGGAACTGAGTTTCAATTTAGTATTGCTGGAGCTTCCTTTTGAGATTTGGAACTGAGTTTCAAATTGATTTAGTATTGCTGGAGCTTCCTTTTGAGATTTGGATTTAGATAGTATTGCTGGAGCTTCCTTTTGAGATTTGGAACTGAGTTTCAAATTTGATTTAGATTTAGTATTGCTGGAGCTTCCTTTTGAGATTTGGAACTGAGTTTCAATTTGGTTTAGTATTGCTGGAGCTTCCTTTTGAGATTTGGAACTGAGTTTCAATTTGATTTAGTATTGCTGGAGCTTCCTTTTGAGATTTGGAACTGGGTTTCAAATTGATTTAGTATTGCTGGAGCTTCCTTTTGAGATTTGGAACTGAGTTTCAAATTGATTTAGTATTGCTGGAGCTTTTTTTTGAGATTTGGAACTGAGTTTCAAATTGATTTAGTATCAGCAAAGGCAGCTTTTGAGCAGAACTCACAGTATTTCACCCACAAAGATTTGAGCCCAGATGCCAGAGAGGCAGTTTGGAGAGCCAAAGCTGCACTTTTCAGGTGCTCAAAGTGCAGGTACACAGCCTGCCTAGCTTGCTGCCCAGAGAAAGCTTTGAGCTACTGGGTGAGGAAAGAAGCAGGTGCCAAGAGCAAGGTGCCAAAGATCCAAGGACCAGGGGTGGCTATCTCTCCTCTCCTTCCTGTCCTTTCTCTCTTTCTCTCTTCTTTTTTTGTGACTTTTTTGTGACTTTTTTGTGACTTTTTTGTGACTTTTTTTTCATGGGTGGGCAGGGGCTTGTCTTTAATCCAGGTGCTTTTACTAATTATTTTGGGCCCCGAGACGTCTTTATTACGCGTGCATTTTTTAATCCCATTTGGACATTATCGATGTTGCCCCTCATATTGGATGTCATTCTTACAGCTTTATCTTATTGTTACTGTTTTCTTTACAAGCGCTTAGGCATTGCCTTCCGGACCAATTCTGATTTGGTTTCCTTGGGAGCTGAGCTTGTTGCATGATTTGTTTCTGAGGAACCAGATCCTGGTTTCCCCAAAGTGCACCTCAATGATTAACCCCTTTGAAGACAATCACACTTTCAAAGGGAAGCTTAAATCAAGCGATACTTAGATACGTTTCGGCAAGATTGGTTGAACCATGTTGAAGTAAGTAGCAACTAAACGCCCAAGAGAATCAGAATGACTCGATTTTCAAGTTGCGCTGGTTTTACACGTGGTTTCCTGCTTAAGCCATGCCGGCACCATGGAAACACTTTCAAAGTGGATTTTGCTGGGGCCCAAACTCGTCTAAAAAGACAGGCTTTCGCAAAGCTGTCCAGGCCAGATGTTTCAAGAGGAGGCCCTGAAGATCTGGTCTCCCCTTATCCATTGGACCTCTTGAGATCACAAGAGCTCTGGGCACGTCGAAGCCTACGGGTCGCCCATTGCAGGATCAAGATCACCGGCGCCACGGTGAGCGCGGTGCAATGTGAGGTGAGGGGCTCGATGGCTCCAACTTCCGACTTCCGACTGCTTGGCCCTTGGGAAGCTGCAGGGAAGCACTGCAATTGTTGGGCCATGTTGGGCCCTCCATGTCAAGACAACATTGCCAACAGCCAAGATGCAAGGCGCCCATAATATGGTTTTGGCCACTCACAAGGGCCCTTGCCGGCCTTTGAAGATAGAGCACCCAGCACCGCAGAAGGCCTAAAAGAACTTGAAGTAAACACTGTCCAAAGGATTGCTAGGAATCCTTCGCAATGAGAGGAGCATGCATCTCATCGTTTTCGTGCCTTTTTTCAGGGTAGGAGCCTAGCAGTGCAATCCAAGGCTGCCAAAGTGTTGCACAAGAGTACCACCGAAAAGCCACAGGCTAAGTCCGCACCCGGCTGCGTGGCGCTTTGGGTGTAGAATGATTGCAGGGTATCGGTTTTCGAGGGTTTGGGGTGGTATGCTTTAAGACCCCCCCCCTCCCGGCTTTCCATGTGTCAAACTCCTTCTTTTCAGTACCTTGAAAAGAAAGCATCATACATACCCTACCCTAGCATGAACACCACATCCATGTCGTTTTCTTTCAGTTGGCATACCAAGCGATCGAGTGACCGAGGTGCGTTGGAACGGAAAGCGGAACTGCTTCGAGCTTTCAGACCGCAGCTCCAATGGCATCTCAGCTGGGAGTAGATGCCACCCGTTTCTTCGGCGGGGGGGGTTGTCCCTCTAAAATGCCCAGTTGCCCAGTGGCACATCTCTTTTTTTTGTGGGAACAGTTCCCCTTGAAGGTCAACCAACCAAAAACAAAGTGCCCCTGTTTTCCCATGACCACTGAGCACCTGGCAATACGTGTTTTGTGGTTGTTTTCCCTGTAATTCCACCTTGTTGGTCAACTTGTTTTTTTCAGAAGAGTTGTTGTTCCCTTAGTCGGTTTTCGGAGGGTTCTCCTCTAATTCAACTCCAGAAGGTGGACCAAGTGTTGGACCCACAATTCCCACCATTGGTTCCCACGGGAAGCAAAGGTCATCCCTTCAGTCAAAGGGCGCCGCGGATTTCCAGAGGCACCTTCCTCAACGGGCGGCTGGTGCTCAAGGGTGGGGAGCCGCTGGCCCTGGAGCACGGGGACCAGGCGGCTTGGGGGGTGGAAGGTGGGGTGGCTGGGGGTGGGGATGCATTGGTTGTCGAATTTCTGGTCGTTAGGCCCCTTTCTGCCTTTGCCACGCTGCCAGTTGTTCAAGGTCAGCTTGGGCCGGCCCTTTGCCCACATGAACCGCAACTTCTCTTGTGCTATTTCCTGTTGTTCTGTTCACGTTTCGCTGTGTGCTGCAAAAAGCAGAGTGGGTTGCCCACGTCACAGCGTTTCTCATTGGCTGGGGGTTTCTCATTTCCCTTGGAACTATTCACCTCAGCTTCCTTAAATTTGGATTCCGATCACCTGAGCTGAAATTCGGATTCCTTCCGTAGGTGCAGCTCACGAAGCGATGGCAGCAGAGCGCTGCGCTGCAGCGGCCCAGCTTCGAAGGGAAACTGCGCCAGCAGAACATGGCGGCTACCTCGTGTTTTTTGAAACACGATACTGCTTGTTTGGCCTCGTTTTGTTGCTTCTTGTTTCTTTTTCTCATTTTCCACTTGGTCCTCCCTCGTTTGGTTGGTTTCAGCGGGAACCATACCGAAATCAACGTTTGTGGGATCAATCTTATTTGTTCGAAATCAAGATTGGTGGTTCGTGTGCATCTTTGCATGACGCAGAACCCCTGAAAGCCAGACCATTTCTCCCCTTAGTCCCTTTGGATTTCCCGTGAATGTGCGGCATGCAATAGCTTCCCATCTTGCCCCCCGGTGGGGGGAGGGGTGGGGGGATGATTCCCTCAGGTTCAACTTCGAGCTGGGCGAGCCTGAGCCGGTGAAGGCGGAGCCGGACTCCCGGCCCCCCGAGCCGGACTCCAGGCCAGAGCCGGATCCTCCGGATCCTCCAAATCCTCCGGATCCGCCTGTGCCGGCGGTGAAGGCGGACTTGGAGAAGCCCGGCTGCGAGAAGCCAATATCAACATCTGTGACACATCGGCAGAACCAAGATGTACAACCCGCTTGTTGAATCAACCAATGGCGGTTTTGTTTGCAAGAGCATTTTGTCTTCCCCTCCGTCTGAATCTGAGGCCGGAAGTCTAGATGTCTCAGTGACCATTATCATTATTGATCATCTGCATCCCGCTTTGTTTGGTGGGAACCCCACAGAAAGCTTGGTAGCGGTGCAAGCTAGTGAAGGATGGCCAAAATGCGCTCTCTTACCCCCAAAAAGGGGGTCGACGCCTGATCACTGATACAGGTTTTCCCACGCAAAGATGGGTCGCCCACGAAAACGCCTGTTGCCATGTTGGCGCATTTTGTTTTCGAGGTGTTCCCCATTGCGGGGTTGCTTTAAAGAGGTCGGTTCTCCTGGGATCATTGCAGAAGCAGCATCAGCCGAAACAACAACAAAAAACAAACGACAACTGCAACAGAAACAGGCCAAAGCTACATCAACAAGAAAAGCAACAAACACGAACAAAAGACTCAAAATCAACAGCAGCAGCCTCAACAATGTCAACATGAACAACATCAGCATCGTCATCAACGTCACCAGCAGCAGCGTCAACATGATACCCGGCAATGATAACACTATCGGCAAAATTGTAGGCATTAAGAAATACCCAAATCTGCAAAAATAATCATCTTGAACAACCACTTGGTAAACAATAACATTCTCATCAACAAGGGCATCACGGAGAGCAGCATCGTCATCAACGACATGAACATGAAAACAAAACCCCAGAAGTGGATGATTTGCTCAAATTTGCCCGTGGTTCCCCCGTGTAAAACCAACAAAAAACAAAAAACACTCCCGAAAGAATGATTCCCGTAAATCCCACAAGCTAGCAATGTTTGGGGGTATGTATCCTGAATGGCTCCTGCACAACTGCAAGCACATTTGTAATTTATAGTAGTCTGCAATGTTAAAAGGAGGTTTCAGACATATTCCATTCAGGTATTTTTCAGGGGGACGCTCAGGAGAAGCCTTGCTGAGTTGGAGTCGCGGGCGGCAAAGCTGGCCACCCAACTGGCCGAGTGCGTCCAACTCAGGTGCGGAACGACACGTCAACCTTTAGACCAGGGGTGTTTGAAAGAGGGGCGGACCTGTTGTTTCGTGTTCTCAGGGAAACGCACCTGTGTTATTTCAGGGAACCCTGTTTTCTGCATTGCTTCATGTTGCGTTGAGGGAAAAAGTTGAACCAGATTTGTTCAAGGTGTTTCAAAAAAGGGAATCAATGTTTTAGATTGCTTTATTTCGGATGGACGCGCTAAAATTGACTTGCAAATAAAGCAGTCTGATCCTCAGGCAAGGAGCGGGTCACCTTCGTTTTGGCGCCCGGTTTTCTTTTCAGCCAAAACTTGATAAACACGTGGCTCGGGCTAGATGGCCCTTGCTGGCTGGTTCAAACCTTTTCGGCCCTCCCAGCTTTCCCCATATTCTCAGGTTTGCCTACATCATCCTTTTGAGTGGCTTCAAGCGTGCCCTTTTTGGTTGCCAATCTTTGTAAGTTTCCTTCAGCTGGGGTGATGCTCAAGAAGGAAGGCTATGTGGCATTCTCCCCAAGGGGTGGTGGAGCCCATCCCCAGGCAGTGTAGTTGTGGGCACCAGTGACAGCTGTGAAACCTCTTTCAGTTGACTTCAATGAAGGTCAATTTCACCAAGGGGTGGACCATCCCTCAATGGCCTTTGACTTTGCGCACATGGCCCAAACCGCATCCCGAAACCAGGCCCAGGCCTGACGCAGAAGAGCAAGAGCAGCTGCGGGCGGAGGCGATTCGCTCCGTTCGAAGTGCGGAGCGTGCTTGTGCCTTTGTTAGAATGAGTTTCCCTACAAACTAGACACCGAGTATCCCGAAAGCGAGTAGGAGAAAAGACATGCGGCGCAAAATGTCAGCCAGCGAGCGGCGATGCTTTCGGGAAAATCGGCACCCACTTGATCCACAACACGTCAGCTCACCATTTGTATGTCTCTGGCTGGTTGAAGTGATCCAGATGTCTAGCTGGCGAGGTCGCCGGGGGCGGGGTTTCACTGGCAGGACAAGCATGGCCCTCAGAGAATGCGATACAAAAATTCCTGTGGCGACTGGGGCTCTGGGAAGCAGTGGTTCGAAACCAGTTTCCACCTAGCAAGCCTCTGCGGCTCATGCCCCGCAACAGCAGCAACACCGCAACCGCCTTGCGCATGCCACCATGACCACGACAACAGCAATAGCAAAAGCACCACCAACAACAGCAACAACGTCAAGCACCGTTTTGGGAACATGTGGGGTGAACCTTTGGGGGTAGGTTCGCATGCGATCTCTTCTTTTTCTCCTTGCAACGCGTTTTTTTTTTTGGGTACCGCCGTTTCAGGTGGATGCGGCGCTGCAAGAGGCCGCGCGGGAGGAGGGCATTGGCAGCGCGCATCGGGAGCTCATCGATGACTGCCACAAGACGCAGGAGAGCCTTCGCTGCGCGCTGCAGGACGGGCGGCTAGCACGCTGGATCTTGGGGTCACGTCGGGCCGAAATGGGTGTGTGGAGCAAAAACTGGGGTTTCCTCCCAGACAATTGGTCATTGGTAGACGAAGGGGATATTTATCCAGAGGGTGTTCATCACCTGAGGCATGATGAAGTCCCAGTGGTTGCCACATGTTTGGGTCTTGGGCTGGTTTGGGGTTCATATCCAGGCTGCTGTTGGGTGGGTTGGACTTTCGGGGGTTTGGGTTGGCCTGGAGCTGGGTGTGCGGGCTGGTTTAGCAGTGGCTTTCGGGTTGCTATAGGCGATTAATTGCTGGTGTGTGATTGGTCGTGCGGCGTTGCCCTAAAGCCATCCGGAAAGGGGTGGGAAGCCAGGTGTTGTCCAAGCTGCGTGGCCGTAGCCTTATGCTTTGTTCGAGCAAATGTGTGAGTGTGTGTGTGTGTGCGTGTGTTTCAGGAACTTGGCAATCTCATTGAGAATTTGAGTGCTTTCTCACAGGTGAATAGCATGGTTTCGTGTCAACCCTTAGAACGTTGGGAAAGAGTCAAGGGGTTAGGATTGGGTCAACAAGTCGCGATATGACAGGGGGCTAAAAGGATTAAATAGAGGATTCATTTGGTAATTTGCCAAACGGGGAAGTTTTCCTTTGGCAAACTTCCAACACCCCCATTTTGCGAAGGCAGGTCTGGATAACCCCCCCGCCCAAACCACAAGGGGCGGGAAACCAGCTGTTGAGGACCTACAATGTTAGAAGGGGGGAATTGGGCACTCGAGGCCGCCTTCGGCATGGGAGAACAAGCTTGCGAGCAAACACCCGAAGTTGGCGGTTCCTTTGTGAAGGGGAAACACAACCAGAAATGAAGGGGCATTTGCTCCTTGGACTCCAAGAGAGCATTGTCATTTTACATATCTTTCAGACCATTGCTGGTTTTGTGGGGAATCAACATCCAACGACGGGCACCCTTACAAACAACCCAGTTTAGTGGTACCCATTTCGGTGGTTGCATTCAGTCATGATGGGCAGGTGTTGCTTGCAAGGCAAACAACAGCACATCAAACCAATGATTCCGGTGGTCGTTTTGGGGGACAAACCCGGCTCAGCTTGACGAAGCCCAAAGCTCGAGGAGCTGCTGGCAGGCCGGGAGCAGCTGGTGGAGAAGCGCCGGAGGTTCCAGGACCTGGCACACCTAACATGTGCGACGCAGCTGATTCCCTCTCCCCCCCCCACCAAAAAAAGAAGAAGAATGAAGAACATGCCACAGATTTGAGTTTCAAAACAAGTTTGAGAGGCCACGTCCGGCAAACCATGATGCGCTTTTCGCCCAATGGGTACCCTTCATTTAACTACAGATGCACCTGAACTCCCCCCGATTCTCACTCGCTGCTGACCTGCCGGGTCTTCCAGCGCAGGAGAACGCGCGGGCCACCCGCGCGGTGGAGAATCGCATCCAGGACCTCGAGGCGGCCAAGCGCTCGGCGCTGCAGGCCCGCGGCTTCGACGCCGGGAGCTCTAGCCTGGGCTTGGCCTTGGGCTCGATGGACCAGGCCAAAGAAGTAAGGAAATGACGCCCCAGATCGTGGCGCTTCAAGTTCCCCCCCCCCTCCTCCCCTCCTCCCCCATGTTTGGAGAGCGGCTAACTTTGTTTGAGGCTCCCTCTGGTGGTTCGTTCTTGATTGAAGGACCTCCACCTTCAACTTCCCATGGGAGCCATCGCAGCGCATGCAGGACCTACGCCTCCAAATGCAAGGCTCGACGTCGGGCCTTCGCCCACCGCCGCAGGGGGTGGAGGGAAGCAGTTTTGATGTGGTCCATACTGAGGCATTGTTGTACACCCCGTATGTGTACATGTACCATACTTCTATTTGCATAAAGAAGCGTGCATAACATGTGTGATGTAATTCTCACCATTCTCGCCGCTACCTCCTACCTGGTGGAAAGCACGCAATAATTATGTGGACCTACATTTGGGGTGAAAGCATATAAGTAGATGGTACGATTCCCCCCATTTTAGTTTAGTCATCCCTGTTACATGGCCGCAAGGGACTTCTGCCATCTACTTTCACCCTGGTGTAAGCCCTCACTTTCACTCCCATGACTCCGATGCCTTTGAGGAGTGCCATGCCAGGTGAGAACCATGGTGAAGGCCCTTTCCATCCAGCCGCCCCCGGGCAGCTGCCCGACCCATTGGGTGTCTTTAGTCAGGGTACCAGAAACACCCATGCTGTTGGGCCCTGTATTTGGACACGCATATGTGCACAATGTATATACACATCCGTATGCACATGTATGGAATGCATCTACGTCCCGTAAGGGAATACATGACTGAAGCGCATCATCCCTATCCCTGGAGTCCACTGAAAGGCGGGGCCTCGGTCACTCGGTCAGGCGTGGTAGCGGAGATCCAGGAGCAGTCCAACTGCCTCTCCCACTGCCTCGCAACGGAGGCTCCCGCGCACGACGGGGATGTTGGCATAGGCCTCCCCAACACGGGCTCCCGCTTTAAAGCCCAGACAAGGCTTTGATCAAGAGGTGTGTGAAGCCACTCCTGCCAAACCCATCCTTCCTGGCATTTGGGGAACAAGAGGGGGAGGATAGGAGTGATTGGTTTAGGATCCCAACCACCCCCTTCGCCCAGGGGAGGAAGGGGTGCGCGGATCCTATGAAAGTTGGAAGGCATCGCGTTGGCCTTTGCATTTTAAGGCTGCGGGCTTTTGGCGTTTCCAAACTCAAGCAACAAGATCATTATAAGAAATGGGTATGTGTCAAAAAATGGGGGACCCCTTCAAAATGACTGGTTTGACTTGGTTTCCCCTTCCAAATGGCCAGAAGGAGGCACGTCTTGCAAGATGACGGGCTTTGGGGCTGCTTTGGTGAGAACGCCCTGGAACGTTTGACTCAGGCCGAGAGGGGCGTGAAGCGCCGCCGCGAGGACTTGGCTTTCAGCACGTCCTCACCGCTTGGAGACAAATGAATATGCCTTCCAGTGGTTTTGCAAGCCACCCGCAAGAAGTTGCAGCCAGCGGGTTCTCGGCATACAGTGTGGGCGCAACGCCAACAGCAAAACTACTGCACAGGGCAGGCCCATGGCCTGGACGACTCGGTAAGTAAGACATGCCGCCCCCATGGCTGGTTTGCTGATGTTAGGTAGTTGGAACCCTGGCAAATGGACAAGAAAAACAGCTAAAACGCATGGTCCCCTGCCTCTAAAATTTTGAGCCACACCCAAAGTGGGGCTTCCCAGATTGATGCAACCTCCAAGCACTGCGCTAGACCAACTGCGACCTCTCCATTCAAGTCCCCCCCTCTCCATTCAAGTCCGTGCGTGATCGCGTGGGCCCAGGATTTCTTCTTGGTAGATTTGGCCAGACACATTGGACAGTGTTTGGAACTCCCAAGCCGGGTTTCATCCTTCCTCATTGGTCCTGGGCGATCCTGGCTGGGCCCAGCCACAGAATGTGTTGCTTCTACATGTGAACCAAAGAGTTGTCTTTTTTTTTAGGAGCTTAAGTGGGCCATGTTCTCAGGAACGCCTTGGAGTGAATCCACGCCCAGCCAACTTTGCAGGACCTGGACACCGCCGACACGGCGGCGGGCTAATTCGAGTGGCGAGCTGGCTGAGGGGAGCACCGGCCTCGCCACCCGGTCCGGGGGTAGACGCTCAGATCCAAGGGGGTTGCCTCCCGGTTCTAGGTCTGTTTCTGGTCAAATTGAATGCAACTGCTGCTCACTGTTTCGGTTCTGTTTGTGTTTTGTTTCTTCCTTTTTCCGGGGGGGGGGGCGCTTGAGCCAGCAAGGAACAGTTTGCCACAGCTGGGAAGTTTGGTGGTGCAGCCGAGCGAAATGACTGAACATGGAGCAACATCACAAGTTCTGTTCGCAAAAGGTATCCCGAACGGGGGCTTCAAACCCGTTGGGTCGAAGCCTAAGCGACCTTGGATCAGAGCGTGCGTGAAAGAGTCAGACGCGGCCGATGGGTCGCTGGAACAGTTGACGGGGATACCGTTTGAGTGGGCCGCATGGCGTGGTTTTTGATTCATATCGCCTGTCTCGCTAATTATGCTGTTTGCAAGCATCTGAGCTTGCCTGCGTTTGCACATTTCAGGGGAAGGAACATGTTTGGTTCGGTTGCCGAAGCCGACCTTTCGACATTGTGGTTTCCACTCGTTCATCTACTTCTAGTCTGAGTAGGTGGCAGCAGGTTATGACACGTTGCCGCACGAATCTGAAGTCCTGCTTGCCAATGTCAAATCCGGACCTCATGTTGTTCGCTGGGGAGAGCAGCAAGTTCATGCAAGTTCCTACTTCTTCCGTCAATCATGGAAGTGGACAAGGGGCCTTTTCAAGAGCCAGGGAGTCTTGCAAACCCGCCCTATTTGGCTATCGTCCACTTGCTTGATTGTCGGACAGAGGGTGGACCGCACTCTCGAAATGACTGTTGGGGCTGGTTGCCCTTTAAACAGCCGCATCGAGGATCATTTTGCGGATTTGCCCTTGTTGCAGCATGCCATGACCGGCTCTTTGTTGTCAGGCGACACTCCGCGACCACCAGATGTCACAGCGCACTGCGGGCGCCTGAGCGTCTGCGTGGGGATCCGTCAGCTTCATTTAGCAGGGAGAGGGAGGGAGGGAGGGAGGGAGGGAGGGAGGGAGGGAGGGAGGGAGGGAGGGATATTTTGAACATCCGAGATTCGTGCAGAACAAGGTTCGAGCTGACGAATCCTTCGACCAAACGGTTCTTTCCAGAAGGTTTCTTCTTCGATTCTTTCCTGGGTGTGTGCGCTTTGGCCCCTTGGTTTTCGTTGGCTTCCTGTTGAAGTGGCTGTTATTTAGCTTGGCCTTTCACCTTCCGAGCGTTTCTTGGGATTTGGAGGCCTCTGGTTTCGGGACTTCGGCAGGCGCCGCCTGGCTGGCGTGCCGTGAGCGGGGCCGCTGGGAGGAGGCAGCGGCGGTGCTGGAGGCCAGATCAGAAGTCATCCGGCGGCTCACTCTAGCAAGGCACCGCTTGGTGGCTTGGAGCTCGTTTTTTTGTTTTTCTTGTTTCCCCTTTACCTTGAAGCAGCTCAAATCCCACCACCAATGAAGGGCGAGTGATTTACGCTTGCTGGTGGGCTTTCCCCGTTCAGTTTGAGCTGCCTGAAGAAGGAATACCGTTCCGTTTTTGGTTGGCGTCATTCACTTTTTGGCGGCCCTGGCATTCAGAAAGAGAAACGTTGAGCCACGTTCTTGCGGTTCAGCTGGGTGTGTCTCAAAATTCGCCCCCCAGAATGGCTTCATTTTCCTTAAGTCGTCACCCACGGAGGATTTTTCTAGGTGCCGGCGGCAAGTCACCGGCCCTTTCCATTTCCAGGCGCTGGAGGATGCGCCACATGCCCGGTGCCCCAGATCGGTGTGAGGAACCTCCCCGGTGCCTGTTTTGCGACACTGGTTCGGGGGCAAGAGGTGTGCGTGCCTCTTTTAGACAAAAGGGCATATACCCTCAAACAAAGACGCACCGAAATGACATGCCCAGTTTGTTTGTTGATGGGAAGCCTTTTTCTAATTGGAAGTGGGCAACATCGACCCACACCTCCAAGGGTAGTCTTTCTTGTTTGGGCAGGCAAATTCTTCCAAGCGCGCCCGGCCACCTTCGTGGTGGTTTCCCTGCAGGGATGTGGGATTAGGGCCGGGCAACCAGTATTGACCAACCCACTTTGTTGACCACCTAGGTTGGACTTAATTCCCGAGGCGCCACTGTTGGTCAAATCAATGACTCTCAATTTCCAGCAGTGGGCGGTGACTGTGTCGAAACTGGGTGCTTCGAAGCGAGGCCAAAGAACCTCCCTTCAAGGACGATTGTGGGGATGTTGAACTGGGGTCTCCCTTTGTTTGCCCAAACATGGTGTATTTCACCTGGTTAGATGGTGCATTAAGATGATTGGGCTCAACGAATCGATCGGGGGGGGTCTGTTGGGTTTGCTCACTTCCAAGGTCCTGGGACGTGTTAAGTGGACTGCGGGAACGAGGTAGGATTTTGCCCACTGCGATGGGAACTGTTGAGCCGTTGCCTTTGACTTGGCTGCTATCGGGCTGGATCTTTAAACCACTAACGTTTTGGGATCGTGCGTGACCTCCCACCAACCAACAACCAACCTTTTTGCGCAGGGGTGATAGCCACCAAGTTGAGTGCAGAAAAGTAGTCATTGGCAGGGCGTCCAGCGGAATCATAATCTCTCATGGACTCATCCACGGACCATGCCCTTGTGATTTGGCCGTGTGATGCCTCCTTGTTGAAGCCGGCAAGGCCATTCCTGCAAACTCTTTTTGCAAGAACTACGCTTCAGTGGTGAGACTTCGTGAGCAATGGAAAGTTCCAACGCGTTTGGCCAGTCCGCGAGCTGTGTTTCGGTTCAGTCAAGCTTTGCAGTAGCCTAGATGCCTATGGCCAATTCATGTTGTTTGCGCCCGTTGGAAAAGCATCATATCTCGACTGATCTTGCTTCGAATCCGCGGCTTTGAATTTGGAAACTCAAATCTGCGATTCGAATTTTCAGGCCGCGGGCTCTCCCAGGACCGGGTGGGGTTGGAACAGTTGGATCAGTTGGATCAGTTGGAAGGGGGTCCCCCGGATCTGCATTTGGCAAGGGTGTGAAGTAGGGGGCTTTCATATTGAGCTTCCATTGGTTTCCCTTTCAAACCTCACCAGAAAGGTACTCCGAAGTCCCCCACCCAACATCCCTCAGAGGTGGGGAACCGACCCAGGCCATCAGTTTGTTTCTTCCATGAGTAGAGTTTCAGGTGCTCGCGCCCACCGCTTTTTCCAGAAGGGATGGGAAAAGGAGAGTTTGGGCTTTGCAGAGGATTCAACTTTTGACCCAGATGCATCAAGGGCTTGTTTGGAGGCAACACGCCCACAAAGGGCACTGGAAGGCAGGGGCTCTCTGGAATTTATTGGACCACAGAATCTGGACCATCTAGATAAATGGAACTGAGGAGATCCCTCAAGCTCCCTTTGTCAGGTTCTGGTGGCCCCCTGGGGCAAAAACAAGCTGCTACCTGATTGGATGTTCCCTGTTCTTGCGCACGAGTTGAGACGATCCCAATGGCTGACCCCCAAGCCGGGGTCTTGGCTAACAGTTGAGCCCTCTTATCACCCCGTGGTGCATGGCAAGAACAAACATTGCAGAGCGCGAGAGAACAAAACAAGCAAGGTCCCACTTATCTTTGGGCCGGAGAGAGCGCAAGCAACATAAATAACCTTTGCGAAGAACCTTAGCTCAGGCACAACTCGGTTGGATGTCACTCGGACTGTGCTAGGCCCGCGCCCCCGCCACGCCCAAAGCTGTGACGCGCCGGCACGCCCCGCAAGGGGAGAGAGCTTGTACATATTTCGCAGCTGCCATCGTGAGCGTGGCACAAAGGCGCCGCCTGACTTTCATAATTTATGCCGCGGATGCTGCAGGTACCTGATGAGTCCTTTGGATTGCCAATTCGTTGAGCAAATGATAGCAAGCACTTGCAGAGGCAACACCTCTAAGCAACCAACCCACACCGCGATCGGGCGTAAGGTTGCGGCTCGGGCTTGAGGCATGCGGACCATCAGCACAGCGCCAACACATGCCAGAACTGCACCGGCCCAAGCGAGAGCAGACAAGGAGATGCTCTCTACCAGGATGCACTTGAGCTGTTGCAGCTAGACAAGCAGTTGATACGGCGCCTGCCACTTAGAACGCCCTCGGCTTGCCGCAGCGTCAGGTATTTGACAGAATTTAGCAGTTGCCCTAAGACGCAGCGACTGTTTTGCAGCCTTTATTCAACTTGTACAGTTTCTTCTCGATCTTGAGTGGGCGCTAACTTTCACATGCTTTATTCCCAGAAGGAAGCCACCAGGAATTGAGCGCCTCTTCCATTCTTCCCAGCCAAAACAAAATGCACCCAGTTCTCTATCGAGCAGAGTCGACGCCAACTCACTGGTCCATTGCATGGGCGATGCTCTCGGAAGAGGCGAGCAGCGAGCTGGAGGCTGGAGCAGAATCAGGGGGTTCCAAATTCGGGCCGTTGGTACCACCTTTAGGCGGACGGAGCAAAATAAAGGGGCCCAATGTTTGGACGGCCCCCAATTGGTTAGGATTGGGTGCGGGTTTTGAACTCACTTTTGTGTTCGCAAAGTAAATTCCTTTAATCTATGGTAGCCTCAAGAAACACGCATTACTTTCCCATGCACACTCCGCTTTTTTTCTCAGGCCTTGGAGAGCATCTTTGAGTCCAACTTCCACCGGGAGGGCAGCCACGTTGTGCTTTGCATCGCCCCGGAGGAGAGCGAAGGCGCGGTGCGCACGCATGGCGCGCATCTGCACCGCGCGCCCAGCGCGCGGCCTGGGCCCGCGCGGTTCGGTGGCTGATGACGTCCCCCGAAAAGTAACACGGCTTTCCCAAAAAAGAGCACAGCTTTTCAATGAACCAGGGGTTTATACCCACAGAAAAAGCCATCAGGGCACGAATGTCTTCTCATTTTGCGTGGTGGCGCACAGATGCAACGGTTCTTTCCGAAACCGCATTTTCGTGATAGATGATGTTTCAGGAGAACGTGCGGATGAACCCTGACGGCGCGTTTAATTTAGTTTAGCATTTCGGAGCACGGGAGGGGAACGCGTGGGATGCAGGTTTGAGCCGCCGCCGCCCCTCAACGCTGGCCCAGTCGCTTTTGATTTCATAAATAATGCTTTTTGGACAGGTAGGTTTTGACTAGTCGAAAGGGCAGACGAACATGCTGGGATTCTTAGCCAAGCACTCGGTGAGTGATGCAGAGCAGCTCGTGTAGAAACAAAACGACTGCGAGGCGCGGAGAGCACACGCAGAAGCACAGAGCACGAGTCAAGTGGGTTACAAGTGGTTCAGCTTAATGCAACCAAAGCATTTGAATCGACCTGTCGATGTGACCTTTGGGCTTTTGCTCGCCCTGGCGAGCACTCGTTGCCGGAAGTCCTGCCATGGTGGGCTGACAGATGGCATGCGGCATCTCTGCTGGCATGTGCTGACCAGATGGGTGGCTCACTTCCCGATCGAACTTTTTGGGTTTCCATGTTTGGCCTTGGAGTCTGGGTTTCAAAATGTCGACCCTTTTTCTCTGGAAGCGCCTGAAAACCAATCCATTGTTAGAGGAACCTCCTTTATTTGGAGAACGACCCCCCCGTTTTTTGGATTCCAAGTCAATTTGCAGGGAGTTTCCAGGTGCCTTGCGACCCGCCAAGCCCCAGGTGGCGGTTTGCCTGTCGCAAGCCACCTACCCATCGGAGTTCCGACTCGACTGGTGCGTGGGCAGCCAATGCTTCGACCACTCCATCAGCTGCGCGCAGTTCCAGCTGCGGATCAGGCCATGTGCGAAATGCGATGCGGATCGGGCAATCGACAAGTTGGGGGTTTGTCCCCACGCCCCCCCATTTGCATTTTGCTTGATCGAATATTCCAAATACTGTCTAAAAACCGTTCTTTGGGGGGGGTGCTGATCTGAGTTGTTTGTGTTTTTTTTTTTTGGGGGGGGGGCGCTTTTTTGGGTATAGAAGGAAAACCAACGGACAACCTCGAGTTTGAGATTTGGGTGCGTTTTTTTTTGAGGGCCCCTTGAAGGGAGTTTGGTTTCAACCCAGTTGGTCCTTTCGTTCCCTTTGACGGGCAGGGTATGGTTGTTGTTGTTGTGTTGTCTTGTGTTGTTTGTTTGTTTGTTTGTTTGTTTGTTTGTTTGTTTGTTTGGTTGGTTGGTTGGTTGGTTGTTGGTTGTTGGTTTTGGTTGTTGGTTGTTGGTTGTTGGTTGTTGGTTGTTGGTTGTTGGTTGTTGTATGTTGGTTGTTGGTTGTTGGTTGTTGGTTGTTGTTTGTTGTTTGTTGTTTGTTGTTTGTTGGTTGTTGGTTGTTGTTTGTTGTTTGTTGTTTGTTGTTTGTTGTTGGTTGCTTGTTTGTTTGTTTGTTTGTTTGTTTGTTTGTTTGTTTGTTTGTTTGTTTGTTGTTTGTTGTTTGTTGTCTGTTGTTTGCTGTTTGTGTTTGTTGTTGTTGTTTGTTGTATGTTGTTGGTTGTTTGTTGTTTGTTGTTTGTTGTTTGTTGTGTGTTTGTTTGTTTGTTTGTTTGTTTGTTTTGTTTTTGTTTTTGTTGTTGTTGTTGTTGTTGTTGTTGTTGTTGTTGTTGTTGTTGTTGTTGTTGTTGTTGTTGTTGTTGTTGTTGCTGTTGCTGTTGCTGTTGCTGTTGCTGTTGCTGTTGCTGTTGCTGTTGCTGTTGCTGTTGCTGTTGATGTTGCTGTTGTTGTTGTTGTTGTTGTTGTTGTT